AAATATTATCCAGAAAGGCCCTGAATGCATCTTTAAAGCAGGTGGAAACCATAGCAGCTATCAAGTTACATCCAATTTTGTGTCTAAGTGATCCTTGCAAGAGGGGCCCTGTGAAGCTGCTGCAGCATTTAAACACCACGTGAAGCCAAACTGCAAATAAGAACAGTGTTTATAATTTTCTATTGCAACAGCTTAGATAGTAGGTGCTTAATAGTGAATTCCAGCGTTAAACGGCGACGACACAGTGCTCTAAGTGAAAGAAATGATGAACAGGTGAACAGAGCGTGTCTACAGATGAACTGATCAATCCTCTTGATTATTATAGACATAAACAAAAGACAACGTTAATTGAATCTCAGTTCAGTCAGGAGTGGCCCCCGAGAAGTCAGCATCTTTTTTTGAGACAAGGGAGAAACAACGTGGACAGGCGCTCTCTCCAACCCGGCATTAACATACATGAGTGTACCGTGCAAAATCATGAAGAGATAAATCAGGGCTAGGGATGGAATTAAGTTGAGAGGATTCCCCTAATTCTATGAAATATGGCATGATTAATCATGCTGAGTTAAAGTGAAAACCCTGCACAAACTTAACTGTGTCCTTACTGAAAGTGGTGATGACTCAGATTTCAGGTCCTCTGTCCTTCCAGAACATCCTCTGGTGCAATACATTACGAGTGTGCCTGTTTTAATACTACTGTATATGGCATATTCATTTCTCCAGACACAGTCAGCACGGATGGAGTTTCATTAGTAATACTGGTGACAGTCCATGGAGCAGGAGGTAAAATGGCGTGCAGACGAACACACGTGTAGACAGGGGTGTTTTTATTTAGAGATGGCTTTCTCTGCCTGGTGCCGCTGATGGCTGTGAGCATGCCTGTGGCAACAAAGACCAGAAGTGCATTAGAGCGAGCACAGTCCATACATGCAAAATACAGTTCACACGGACTACTCCTCTCTGACGTTTGCAGTAGAAATGGAGAAGTTGATAGCTATTGCAGACAGAGAGACAGGGCCGAGAGAGATGAGAAAGATTCACCTGGTGAGGTCCTCTATGTCCACCAGCATGGCGTCCTGCTCCACATGTAGCTCATCCCTCAGCAGCAGCAACTGTACTAGCTCCTCATTAAGACCTGAGTAAGATTATAGATGAATATTATATATTTTTATATATTAACTCAAGTCTAATGCAAGATGGTCAACAGAAAAATGTCAGATCAGAGGAGGAGAATTTCAGTGCCTGATCTGTTAAAATAGTTAGAAAATGTCTATATTTTGAACTGTACGTTTTACATTTCTCTGTCTGTTTTTAGGGTTGGATGTTTTTAAATCTTTTGATATTGTGACCTCTGTTTAAATATTTCAGAACAGTTGAATAGCAGAAAGCTGAAAGTTGACCAGTTTGGTCAACGGTATACTCTTTGACCTAATCCACCAGGATACACCAGCATGACTCTTTGTAGCATTAGCAGTATTGTTTTTCAGCCTATGTAATTGAAATATAACATATGGGGAAGAAGGTCTGTGACCCTTAGGTTTATCACACACTTCCAAACCATTTTGAATAAGTTAAACTGCGTTAGATCCCATACTGTTTTCCTTAAAGATGTTTTTCACCTGCCAACAACAGTATGCCACTAAAATGGGAAGATACAAGAAATCTGTTGGAAGGGTAGGAGGTTGTTGGGTTTATTAAATACTTGCAGTGTGTATAAGATCTACTCACTTTGAATCTGTGAGTGTAAGTCATTTGTGATGACTTGCAGCTGTCCTAGACTCATGTCCCTCATGTCCCCTCTCCTCAGATTCCTCTTCATCAAGCCCTCGCTGATGTGGGGCAGATGGGGGAGCTGCGTGTGTAAACACACATAGATAGGAAATTACTGCATTTCAAAATGTGCAAAAAGGCTCTGAATCATTCAATATTGATGAAGGTCAACTGGATCTATGCATCTACAGTCCCTGACAAAAGTCTTGTCGCTTATCTATTTTGTAGAAACACCGGCTATTAACCTGACTTTTAATTAATCAATTGGTGTTAGAAATAGCTCATATGAAAAGCTAAAACCCTCCCAAATGATGTTTAATGCACTGAAATAAATAAAAGTAGTTTCACTGAAAAAAGATTTATCATTTAAACAAGACAGAAAGGTCAAATTTTGGCAAGACAAAAGTTGTCGCCTATACAGAAATTGAACAAATTTACTGCAAATACAAAAATGTGTCAGCAAATTAAGTAGTGATGCTGTGAGATCCAAATTTAATATCTTGTATGACTTCCATGACCTTGAAGGACTGCATCCATGCGGTTTGGCAAGGATGCATACAATTTATTGATGAAGTCATCAGGAATAGCAAAGAAAGCAGTCTTGCATGCCTCCCAGAGTTCATCAGTATTCTTTGGTTTCGTCTTCCATGCTTCCTATTTCATCCTACCCCACATATGCTCAATGATGTTCATGTCTGGTGACTGGGCTGGCCAATCCTGGAGCATCTTGATCTTCTTCGCCTTGAGGAACTTTGATGTGGAGATGGAAGTATGCGATGGAGCACCATCCTGCTGCAGAATTTGGCCTTTTTTATGGTTGGGAAAATAAGAGGTAGCTAAGATTTCTTGGTATTTTAGACTATTGATGTTGCCTTCCACCCTGCAGATCTCTCGCACACCCCCATACTGGATGTAACCCCAAACCATGATTTTTCCGCCACCAAAACTTCACTGTTTTCTGGGTGAATCTCGGATCCATGTGGGCTCCAGCAGGTCTCCTGCAATATTTGCGGCGACTGTGGTGTAATTCAACAGAAGATTCATCTGAAAAATCCACCTTCTTCCACTTTTCCAGTGTCCATTCCTTTTAGCAGGCTGTAGGCCTTGGCAAATGCCACACGGTTTTTCAATTGTCTTTTGTTTAGTGCTGGCTTCTGGGCACTGACCATGGAGGCCATTTCGAGACAGAATCCGACAAACTGTTCTGGTTGACACAGGGACCTCAGGTGACCAGGTCTCATGGAGCTCTGCTGCAGTGGAAAATGGGCTGGCCTTGGATTTTGAAACCAAACGGTCCTCTCGAGCAGTTGTCTTGCGGGGTCTGCCTGACCTGGGCTTGTCAAAAATGTCTCCAGATGTTTTTTTTATCCTCTGTACTTGACACTGAGACACATTGAAGGTGTCTGCCACATCAGCAGTGGATCTGGTCTTCAGCCTCTTGATAATCAAAACTTTAGTCTCAGGGTGAATCTTAGGCATGTTTGCAGAGGTCTAGTTGCTGTTGATGTGAAGGTCTAGTGTACTGGGGTTGTTTTATACACACCTGAGACCTAATTGATCCATTATTAGTCACAGGTGAAGCTCATATGACAAGGCGACAACACAAGCTGTGAATATTAGAATACTTTTTGACAGTTTCGTTTTGCACTGAAACATTATTACAAAAGCTGTTGGGATTAAAATGAGCCATTTCTTGTAAAAATAATATATGAAATATATTTCAGCGGCACTTCAGGTCAATTTGTACACAAGCGACAAGACTTTTGTCAGGGACTCTATCTGGGTTTGCAAATGTCCTTTGTCCATCAACAGTGGGACAAATTAGCTGCTGTTTTGTTTACCAGTATCAGGGGTTTTCTCTTGGTCACACAGAGAGACATACATCAACTTACACACCCTGACTGACCTTCTATTCAGGCCATTGCAAGTCCCTTATGTCATTTTTATTGTGCTGTGTTTACTGTAACAGCAAGTTAGACTAAGTAATTCTATTTTCACTGTTCCCCCTTTCTTCTTCTCTTGGACTAACCAAGTCAGCCACAGGTGAACGTCTGTGCAGTTGGATTTGCCTCTCCACTTCCACTTGCATGCGGGCCATGGGTCGAGCCAGAGCCAGCGCCACCCGGGCCTCCTCCTGCAGCCTCCGCTGCACCCGCCAGAACCCGCCGCAGTCATCTAATGGGTCTGAGTCCTCCTCCGCCGTGTCTCGGTCCGATAATGACGAGCTCTGCTTGCTCTGGAGAAGAGGTATTGTAAGTAATATTATGATGCAAAGCCAATGTGGTTCTCACACGTGGTTTTTAAAAAGAGTAATTGGAGAAGTGGGACGAGAGAGAAACACATACGCAAAAACACAGAGACTATCTAAGCTGTAAATACCACAGGTGAAAGCGGCGTGTCCAGACTGGTCTCTGTCCTGCTGTCCTCCGCATCACTGTCTTTGTCACTGCTGCTGTCGTTAACAAAACACACCTGCAAGTTCACCCCACTCTGCAGACTGAGAGGAAAAACATAAAAGTGAAGAATATGAGAGAGGAAATGTTGATTTTTAGTTACAGATGCTGAAAACATCTACTACTCAGAATGAAACCTGTGGAGAAAATAGGGAATTTTTTTTTACTGATTTTGTTTACTCTAAAAAACACAAACACAATTTAAATGAAAGAAATCACAACATGGGGGACTTGGTAGGAATCTATGTCTTTATACGTATCCTCAACAAGATTATGAAGGAGTGGGAAGTGGAAAGGCCAGGAAATATTTGGACCCAGGGTTCAAGCATTTGCGGAATCCTACAAATGAATAATTATAAACAGTTAATTGAGGTGATTATTGTAATTTCCATGAAAAAGCAAAACAATCATGAAAAAGTTTGGTAGCTGTCTATACAGCACTGTAAATCACGTGCCAGATTCCATGGAGAATCAGCTGGATTTTTATTTTTACAGCAAAAGGCAGGAGGAGCACTGCAGTGTCCAAATGGTGACTTTTTAAACACTGACACACTTCTAACACACTGAATATTCTTAAAATAAAAGGGATTATTAAAATAAAGAATATTATCAACACAAAAATAATATCAGTTTAAGTGTACCCTATATTAAAAGTATTTTCCAGGCTTTACCTCGCCATCAGAGTTCTATGGTTAGTGCCAAAGAAAAATACTTCTTTGGCACTAACCATAGAACTCATATTTTTACTCATAAGCCAAACTGCACTGCGCACTGTATTACGCCGCGGATCCACTGTTTGGGTCAGAAAGTTGCGAGATCAAACTGAAATCAAACTTCACATTTCTAAAGATTTAAAAGATGCTGCGTGCTTGTGTTTTTCCCAGGCTATGTTGCTGTAACTCTAATCCAAACATCTGATTTGTTTAGGTAAGACTGTCTGAAGGAATGGTAAATAGGATGAAAATATCTTAAGTGTACACTTAATCTGATTTAGATTTATTTAGGTGGGCCTTGTTTTTTGACTAACAATTTTTTGACTTTTGGTGCTCCTGTCCACAGCATTGTATTGCTCTGCTTCCCCGTTTACTGCAAGTAATACTATGGAGAAGTACCTCATACAACTCACTTCAAAAAAACCTGAACCATCCCTTTAAGGGAAATCTTAATGCTACAGTATATAAAGACAATGGTGTGCTTCCAAACGTGTGCCAACAGTTTGGGGAAGATCCTGTCCCCTTTCAACATAAATGAGTTCGTGAACAGAGATTTGACCTCATCCCTACTCAGCATCTTCTGGGATGAACTGGAATGTCAACTGCAATCCTGGGCCTTATCATTGAACATCAGTGCTCAACCCATCCTCACTAATGCTCTTGTAGCTGAATGGGAGCAAATTCCTACAGCCAGGTTCCAAAATCTTGTGGAAAGCCTTCACAGAAGAGTGGAGGCAGTTATAGCACATTGTTTTGGAATATTATTATTTTGGTGTCCACATACTTTTGGTCAGGAAGTTTATTGATGTCAGTAACGTCACAGTGTGTCACCTAATCAAGTAGGAAGAAAAGCAATTGAAAGCTTCAATGAAACAATCGAAGCCGCAAACATGACATCAGAACCTCTACTGCAGTTCAAACCTCAGCCTTTCCAAGAGCTCAAAACACCATTCACTCAATTCCAGATCATGTTACTCTGAAAGAACCTAACAACCCAAAATAACCTCCCCCTAAACTAGGATGAGAACAATAACTTCAACATCTCTTGAACTGGACAGGGTGGTGCTGGAATTTCCACCCCAAACTAAACCCCAGAGGGTGCACCTTTACCTCCTTTGGAGGTCACATGTTTAAGTCCACCAATCACTGCTGCAGATTTATATCGAGCCTCACTTCTTCTTTCAGCAACATTTGGACCACAGATAGAACTGCAGTTCCTCAAACAGTCGGCAGTAGCATGAGGGGGGCGGCCCCATTGTGTTATATAAACGCCCCTCCAATGTTAAAGTCAAAGTGCCACAGAGTTACTGGAGGTCACAGCTGTCATGGAAAGAAAGGAGAGTTGTGTTGTAGCTGCAGTGGCTTTGGTTAACCATCTCGTGTCGGATGTAATGCACCTGTTTCATCTACGTGTGCATGCATTGTTGGGTGTCCAAAACCTCAATTACAAACATGAAATATCACTTTCATGGGAAAATGATATCTTAGTTTGATTTCATATGTGAAACCTACTGTGTATCATTCATTTTTATGGAATGAAGACTTTAAGACATTAAAGACACAAGTAATTTTTTTTTGTATTGCACTTTTGTGTACATCACGATACTACATTAACAAACTAAAAGGGGCAGTAAAAATATAAACAGTAAAACAATGGAAGACTAATCCACTCGCATTTTAAGGCAAAATGCAGAATTGTCATGTAAAGATGTAATAATTACTAAAGATATAATTTGGAGATATAATATGAAAAACATTATAATCTGTTTTCATTTAATGCTTTATCTAACAGGTGGTGGCAGAGTTTTCAATTGGGAAATATCTTATTTTGGCATTACACACATATCTAAACTATATCCCACTGTGAGAATTTCTTCAAATTTTGTCTGAGTCATGAAACTCGGGCATTGCTGAGTTTCCATCTCAGCACCATATTACGCAACAGAGGTTAACCACCTCCTCTGTGCCTACTCTTTCCATGCTTGTACATACTTCTTTGTTCTGCTCCTGATAGTTATTGTTTAGTACAATGTCAATTCCCTTGGACTGACTGTAAACAGTATACTGTGGCTTTCCGGGAAACCTTTTATTTTCAGCCTGCACTTCTGTTATGTGAGTCACTCACTGTCTTCCGCTGTTTGTCTAACAGGATAATTCAACTTACTTACCCCTGTTACTGCACTATTCTGCACTGTCACATGATTCACTGTTTCTTCCACAATGGACCCGCTGTCATTTGCACTTGACACCTACAAGCCAACAATCCAACCAGTCTTTTTATTTATGATTTGTGTGTTTTTAGTTTATAGTTCTGAGTGAAAAGATAAAGTAAGCTACTGAATAGCTCCCTCTTCTGGCTCAAGTATGTATCTCCAAAAATATCAACTTTTCAAAAGCTATGAAAAACAGCTCTGTTTTTCAGATGATCCAATGGGTTTTTAATTATTTCTTTGTTTAAGAAGTAAGAGAATGTCCTCAACCCACGAAGGTTCAGAAAATGTATCTGATAATTTCAAAATGACCAAATTTGGAGATACATGTTAATCATTGTTTCTACTAACACTTTGCATGAATATACACACAATAACGGGCTAGACTGATTCATTTATTTGCTAATATGATGGGCAGTTAAATAATTAAATGCCTTATATTGGTCAGTCATGTGGTCTATATGAGCAGGTTATATTGGCAACACTACCTGTTTACACAGCCTACAAAATCTACAGTTGTGTTTTATATCAAGCCTTTACATAATTGGTAAGGTTTTCTGTGAATCAATAATTAATTTAATCTAGGGCATATTATGTATTATTTCCCCGCCATCCATCCAAGAACATATAAAGCTCTAAAGAGTGCAACACAAAAATATTGATGCCAGCCTTCAAAATACTACAGTGATCAAACACACGCTCCGTCCAAACCCACCGGGAGGATGGGCCGTTCTTGCTGCAGCTGGTGTAGATGACTGGCTCGTCGTCATAGAAACTGCCAAGGGCCAGTTTCTGCCTGATGGACTCTCGCTCATTCCTCTGGGCCTGCCAGAGAAAAGAGAAAAATACATGAAAATAAAGAATATTAATAAAAGTGCTGCTGCTGCTTCATTGACCAAGTGTGACATACTCAGGAAGAAAAATCTAAGCTGGGTGTGCAGTTTGCTCTTTAAATTCAAGCTATTAATAAAACTGTTGTACCAAATGATACAGCACTTTCTGGTTTAGAGGAGGAGGAGGCTGAAATAAAAAAAAAAGAAGAAACCTCGGAGGAGGGACAAATATGGATTAAGAATAGAAAGGTAGATTGAACGAATGCAGCAAAGTCATGCAATCCAATTTCCTGCCTTTCACACAGCTGGGGGCTCACATATACTGTCATTATAGTTGTATAAATATGTTAACTACTCTATTAAAGCTTAGCCAACACATTTATAAGGCCTTCTCTTGACATCACACCTTACATATTACTCTTCCTCTAATTTCCTGTTCTGCCTCTAAATAATCAGCTAACCCAAAAATATCAAGTTTAAATAGTAGGTGTAAGATTCTGCAGCCCACCATACACTGAGAACAGAATATCCTGTTCCTCTTGACATATAAGCACTACAATAAAAGCTGGACTGAATTGGCAACCTGATTAAAAAGGGACATCTGGCAGATTCAGGTGGTCTGATTTTCTCCCACAGTTCAGAGACATGCAAATCAGGTGAAATGGAAACTTGCTCAAATTTGCTTGCAGCTATGAATATGTTAGTATGCATGCATTTGTCTGTCTATGAGTTGCATCCAGGGATAGACTACAGCACCCATAAGGACGAACTGGTATAGTAAATGGATGGATGAGTGAATCTAGCAGCTTCTATCCACATTTTTTTTTTTTTTTTTAAGTTTACATTCAAGGTCCCCACACCAGATGTAAAAAGGAAAAAAGTATCCATACTGTTTTAAAGCATTTGTCTACAAGGAAGTACATTACACTAATCTTCTTTCAACCAATTACAGCAATCAAGTATTTAAGGTCTGTAGTAATCATTTTCAACAACTATATTAGCTGTAAGTCATCAATAAAGGTTTTCCTTTGCTGAATTGCCCATTCAAAGGCCATCATCAAGACAGCGGCCAATATCTACAGTAAAATGGATAACAATGCCACGTCATTCTGCCCTCTGATTGGCAACTTCGTGTACATGACTAATCTCTTTTGACAGGTATAATCTCTGCTCCCCTCCTGTTTCTCTTTTAGACCAGAAATTTTCTTTTACTTACTTTCTCAGCATCTATTTTCATTGTCCTGATTTCATTTTGTCCCCTTTTGTATTCTTCTGTGTATGTCATACCCTGAACCGTTTATAATTTTCTCTTTATCTTCCACTTCCACTCTCTAGCTGCCCTTAGATCTCATTTCTTTTTGTAAACTACATTTTTAGGTCACTTGAGCTGCCTGGGTTTCTGTTACACAGATCAAAGTCTTTAATTCTCAAATTTCTTTCTCTCGAAATACTGAACGAAATATTTGAGACATGATTTACTATTGTGTATGTGTGTGCCATACATACATAACTAAAAACACTTCCAAAATTAGGTATGTTTCTCTTATTTGTCAACGTTCTCTCTCTAAATAACCTCAAAACCGGCTCAACACTAACACCCTCTCTCTTTTTCTGTGACGCGTCATTAGATAAGACTGTGATGTAAGAGCATAAATCACAGTTGATCGCCTTCACTCTCCCAACCAATGCTCTGTCTCCTGCTCATCCACTTCAGACAGCCGGATGTCCTCCTTACCAGCAGACATACACACACATAGATTCACACACAACTTATTTTTGCCATCCTGTAAGAAAGTATGTTATATAGCAAAAGCACCCCATAGTATATTTATAGTCGACGTAGAAAGATTTAATTTATGAAAACAGCATAGCATGTCATATGATTACACCCACATCCATCACATGAAAGATGAAATTATTTCAAATTTTACTGAGCAGATTAGTCTAGCAAACATAGAGATAAACAGGTAAGGATCACATATGAGAACACACCCACGCCACCTCACAATCAAGTATCCACTCATCCATTATGGCTGATTCATCTACGCCAGCGCATCCATGATGGATACCTATCACGTATACCTGTAAACATTAGGCTACATATGCTGCACCCTCAGAATCACTAAAGCAACAAACACAAAATCCACACACCTGGTAAACGCGTTTCTCTTGGTGCACCATCCTTCAGCGCATCGTACTAAAACAGCCGCCCTGCCCTTCTCTACACTGCAGCGAAGCTAGACCCAGGAGACCCTCTCATATACTGCAGCTCTGTGCAAGAGAGCGAAGGAGGGAGGAGAGAGCAGTGAGGGGATGGAGGGAGGGAGGTAGCAGAGAGAGGAGGGGGGGATGTGGGAGCAGGAGAGGAAAGAGTGGGAAGAGGCGGAAGCAGAGGAGAAGAGAGAAATGCAGGAGGGAGGGGAGAGACAGAGCTGCTAAGTGCTGCCACTGCTCTTCTGATCCGTTATCTTTTCCTCCATCTTCCTCACTTGCTTTCTTTCTCCTGGCTACTCCTCTTTGTCTTTCTTTTAATGGGAGGAAAAGAACAAATAACAGCTGCTGGAAATCTGTATCCTGATAAGATGAGAAAGACCTTATAGATTTACAGAAATAAGGGCAAATTATTGGTTGCATGGCAAGGTGAGCGACACGGTGGGCTGAAGGCCTGGCTAAACATATCTGATAAATGAGATTGCAACCCTGGAAAACAAAACCATTAAATAGGCCACTGCTGATCAATAATATGCTCCTCTAATACATTTTAAGCAACAACACTGACATGGCATCTGCATCTGCTTGTTGGCCCAAAGTAGTGCAGTGAATTTCTAATTGCACATTCTCTGTTTGTTTAGTCTCCTCAAGGATCCTCCTCCAGACCCGTTCCACATCACAGATTCAAGTGTGATGAGCCGTAAGAGAGACAAGGAAGCACAGGGTGTACGTGGCCACGTGTGTGAAGAGAAACGCAAACACACACTCAAGGAAGCACACACATACCCACAGTTAGTTCCCACAATGCTGTGTTACAATGCAGCAGTGGGCTGATTAAACAGCACAACATTTTTGAGTCATCTTTCCTCCTTCATCAGCATCAGATGCCAGATATCCTCAGCCTTTTTCGCAGTTCTCTAAGGGCAACGTATAGCCTACACCATTATAATCATATGCTGAATCTACACACATATAGAAACTGGATAGGCATAGCCTCAGGTTTTAATTGAGTTTGTTAGTGTTTTTCTATGTATGTTATTTGTAGAAACCTGGATTTGTGCTGAATCCCTTTCTTATCCTGTCTCGCTCTGTTTTCTTGTGCCTGGAGATGTAATGGAATTTGTCAGAGCAAATGGTAATTCAGTGCTTTTGTGGCCCAGACATAAAGAGAAAGTCAATCACTCACAGAGATGCTGGCAAGTCTGGTTCGCCCTCCAGTGTGACAGTCTTCTGCCTGTGGTGTAAAGATATCCTGGAGCTCTTCGGCCCAGCTGCGGCTGTTTACCATGCAGCCTCTTCCCGCTTTCTGTTGTTGAATGTCACAGTTGCCATCATCTCCGCAGTCCTCCCACCAATGGCCCATTGTGGCCTGTCTCATGAATACCTCTCTCTCTTCTTCCACATACATGTCCACATCATAGTCCTCCATAAAGACAAACTGTATGGAGTGGGTGGAGCAAATGTCAGGGCTGGGGGAGGGACTGTTTGCCTTGGTTTGAAAATATGGCCACAGATGGATTGAAGATTTTCAGAGGTGGGTCAAAGTTCCCAGACTGAAATCAATCACTTAAATTCAGGCTATCAATATCTTTCATGTACATCGTATCTTAATGTTCCGGCTTTCAGATATAATAGATTGCAACAATTGCAGAATGGGCTCAAACATGAAGTAATAGCTACAGTATATTTCGTTGTCATATTTCCTGTGTAGATGCCATGTTCCTATTCAATGATCTTTCAGTCTCTGATCTCATTTAGTCTGCATGAACAGAAGTCACAAAATAACATCCATAATGACAAACTTACTGAAGCACATATGCATTGTCCTTCAATCCTAAATTGTAACTACGGCCAAAATGAAAAGCCAAATCGTATATAGCACATGCTGTAGGACTCACCTCCATTGTAGAGTGCAAACCATAAAAAAAAATTATATCAAAACAAAGATAAGCACAGTGTTGCATAAAAGGACAACTGCTTCTCCCATGCTGAACAGACCGTTAAAGGATGGATTTCAGGATTTCTTGGTCCTCTGCTAAGTTTTTCTTCTTCTGAGCTCCATAATTCCAGTCGCCTAACAATCAAAAATTGTGGTAAATGAAAATACAAACGTGCATCCTTGATGTCAAAGACCAGCACTACGTGTCTCACGGTTGTCACGTGTGGCTTAGTTTCAGTGATGTGTGTAGATGTGTATGTGTGTCGTCACAGGGTGCCCAGAGGAGAGAGCACCATGTGGAAGTATATAGGAACCGACAGAATGGGGTGTGTGCACGCACGCTGTGTGAGTGTATATAGGAGTGAGGGGGTTTCACAGAAAATAACGAGTATTTAGAGACAGTAACAATTTGGAAAAAGTATGGCTATTTTTTGTAATCCAACTTAAATTTATTCCATGGTTTCTTTTCAAGAGGTTGCTCCAATCTCCAGTCTGTCAGGTTCAGTTGGCAGTTTTACTGGAGCAGTAAAATGAGCCTCGGGTACGCGAGCAGTACCTGGGTGAGAGATAATCAAGCGCAGAATATCAGCATGTAGAATTAGGATTGTGTATTTCACCACCTTAGTAGATGATCAATCCTTTAATGGAACTCTTGAAAGGGCCAGTGTCTGATATTTTCTATCAAGCAACATTTAGCAAGTGACTGTTCTGCATCAATTGCAGCTGCAGGAGAATACTGTATGAACTGGCTTGAATAACCCATCCTTGGCAAAAGGCTCAGTGGTCCGAATTCACTAATGGGGAAACTGATCGCTAATGACAATTTACCTTAATTTACAAAAGAACTGACATCTCAGGTTGTATATTGCAAGTGTCATAGCTAGTTTGTGCCAAGTCTAACCCTGAAAGAAGGAAGCCTGCACAGTGTTGCTCTGCTGCAAATACCCCTTCATGGATGTTGCAACTGGGTCTGCTGCCCCCACCCCCTGCCCAAAAAAGGCTACACAAACACTGTTCTATGAAACTGCACAATTGCTTCTCAGCAGTAAAGGCAATTACCATTTTCCATCCCTCATAGTTAAGTACATAAAGTTATGGTATCTATTCCACTGCAAGTCAGTTTAATGTAGAATGACCACTGCTTCACCCAGCTAAATATTTGCCATTAATCCAAAGTGAACTTCCACACACTTAAATCTATGCTGAGTTTCACTTTTAAGATTTCAGTCCATCAAACAGAGGATGGACACGCAACTAAGGTCCCCAACCAGACTGACCAAACACTTCATGTATACAGATGACCTCTGGATGTTATCTGGTTTTGATTTGGACCCACATTCTTTGATCTGACCACAAAATGTTTAAGCTTGCCAATGTTTTCCCCCTGTTGCTGCTAGTAACTTTTAAAGTAAGTTGCAGTTGAACTCAAATCAGTCATTTCTTCACTGAAATGATATGGTGTAATGCTTCCATTTGTGTTAAACTAAGCTGTGATCCCATCACTGAAGCCTGTAAAATTTTCATAGAGAAACCAGTGAGCACCGGTGCACAGAAGCATCAGCATTTGAGACTTGTGGGGGAGTGTAGCAACAGTCACTGGAAAAGTGAACCCTTCAGTCACAGGAAATTCTGGTAGTGTCCAAGACAAATCTTTGATATGAATAGCTGACTGTTCACCTTGCCCAAACACCTCCAGCACCACTTCTTGATAAGCCTGGACTCAACAGCACCAGCGTGAATACAAAAGAACTGGACGGGGCTACTTTTTTTCCTTCCATACCATTTATTAGAAGAGTTTCAGTAGGCTAGACATTAAGTGGGGCCTGTTGTGGTAGTCATCTGCGGGTTAGGGGTTGGATATTGGGAGGGAAAAGAGAATATAGGTGAAAGTGCCATATGGTGGAAACTTATTTTAGGGGGTGCTGTGGAAATTGAGGCCATGCTGGGTTAGCAGTTGTAGTTTGTGCAGGAGTTGCGGTTGGGAGGGGGGTGAGGGAAGAACAAGGGGTATTTTGCGTATTGTGGAAATTGATGCCATGCTGGTTTTGCAGTGGTGGTAGTTGGTGCTGCTGTGGTGGTTGGAGCAGGAGGAAAAGGGTAAAAAGGAGGGAAGAGAGGGGGGTATTTTACATATTGAGGCCATGTTGGGTTTGCAGGCGTGGTTGTAGTCGGCGCTGCTGTGGTGGTTGGCGGAGCAGGAGGAAAGGGGTAAAAAGGAGGGACGAGAGGGGGGTATTTTACATATTGAGGCCATGTTGGATTTGCAGGCGTGGTTGTAGTCGGCGCTGCTGTGGTGGTTGGCGGAGCAGGAGGAAAGGGGTAAAAAGGAGGGAAGAGAGGGGGGTATTTTACATATTGAGGCCATGTTGGATTTGCAGGCGTGGTTGTAGTCGGCGCTGCTGTGGTGGTTGGCGGAGCAGGAGGAAAGGGTAAAAAGGAGGGAAGAGAGGGGGGTATTTTACATATTGTGGATATTGAGGCCATGTTGGATTTGCAGGCGTGGTTGTAGTCGGTGCTGCTGTGGTGGTTGGCGGAGCAGGAGGAAAGGGGTAAAAAGGAGGGACGAGAGGGGGGTATTTTACATATTGAGGCCATGTTGGATTTGCAGGCGTGGTTGTAGTCGGCGCTGCTGTGGTGGTTGGCGGAGCAGGAGGAAAGGGGTAAAATGGGAAGAAAGCGGGGTATGGTGGAGATTGGGCCGTTACTGGTTTCTCTGTGGTTGTCTGGAGCGTCTCAGGGTTTGATGGAGTGTACGTGGGTACAGGTTGTGGTGTGGCAGTTGTGGGACACCAGAGTGAGACTGGAACACCCTGCCAATGCATTGGGAGCACGTAACTTCCACCCTTGGGGAAGAGAAGACAAGTGTGAATTAGAATATTACATAAACCCAAAGTTACACTAGGGCCTGTACTACAAAGCAGGGTTTGAGGGTAGTGAGCAACCTGCTCTGGAGCAGGTTATGTTGAGATAAGAGCAAGGCTATAAAAAAAAACCTGACCATCAAGTCTGAGAAGCGTGTCACTATTTGCAGAAGATCCTGCAGACTGCTCCATGCATGCTGTGTGTGATACAATCCTACCCAAACTGAAGCACTAGTGTATTTGATATAAAGCAAGCCTTTCCGCTTTGAATTTCATTTGCATTGTAGTCACACAGGCAGTATAACCTAACTTCATATTAAGCTTAATGTGCACACCAAAGTTTTAAAGCATACAATTTCTTTAAGTCTGTGAGAAACCGACATCCCTCCTAATTCTACACCCTTTCCCTGGGTTGATAACTAGAGTTGTGTGACCGCTTAGCGTGATCACTTGTTAACATTAGTGAAGCCAGATAATGAAGTGATCTCATTGTACAGTGAACTTGCTTAGTACAGGCTACATGAATGCAGTTAATTGATTAGCAATCCTTGCCGCCATTCAATAGTTATCTGTGAGTTTCAGAATTTTATTCTTCAAGCCCTGAACTCCTACAAGCCAGGCTGATGCACGAGATCCTCCGACAGGGCTCTACTAATGTTTCAAAGTCTTGTTGACTTTTAAATTACCTTTATTTAAATATGGCCCTTATGTTTCTATAGCACTTTGTAATGTAGTTTTGAAAATTCACAAAGTTATCTACAGATCTGCTCTAATCAATTAGCCTTTGAGAAAATGCTCAAAATTGCCATTAAAATTGAAATGCCCATTTGTCCAACCAAACACACAAGTTCTACAGTAGGCCTACAATTGAGCTTGCCCGACTAATGATTAGAGCATTTATCAAAACAGCTGCTGGTTTCTACACATCATTTAAGCTCTTGGTCAATTGCTCAGATTTCCACCTTCCCACCATGCAGCAATATCTTGCATTTCCATAAACATTAGGCCTACCTCTTTAACCACATTGCAGCCATCATAAGGAACCAACATAACAAGTGCAAGGGAGTTCCTCTGCATGCTGTAGCCACAACTGGAAGGCACCTGGGACAGAAGCATTGGAGGTGCTGTTCCTGTGTGTGGGAGGGGGGCATGCAGATCAATGTGACTGAAGTCAGTTGTGGGAATACCTACAGTTGAGACATTATATAATAAACTTTAATTACCTTGATCCACTGTAAACTGTGATACTCCTGGTCCCACTGCTCTGAACTTCAACTGATCCCCACCACATTGTAGAGAAGCTGCCATGCGCCTCCATGCTGCTTCTCTGAAACCGAGATCTGGGCTTTGTCCTTTAGGCCAGCCTGACAGGGAACCTTCTAGTGAATGTAGGCCTATTACAATTTGTTGTGCAGTTCATAAATACAGTTCAATATAGGTTAAAGACTGCAGGTTTTTTTACCTGCAGAGTCAGCTTGATACACAGCTCCACCCTCCATGGAAGCATCTGCCTTTAGGACTCGTGAGCCAATGGCTGACCCGTTTTTAAAAACTCTCCCAAACACAATCTTCCCTTCTTGGACAGCTACCGTTTTAGCTGCATCGGCTTTTTTTTGTCCGTGTTGTCTTTGTGTTTTTTTCAGTCGATAGCAGTCTATCATGTGTACCAAATAACACACCAGAATAACAACCGCTGCCCAATAGACAGTAGCCCTTTTCCCTTTCCCCATGGTTCCGCAGTGACTCGTGAAAATGTTTCAAACTGAAAGATGGTGCTTTGCCGCAGGTAAGCTATTTATGTTGTAACGTTTTCTGCCGGCAGGTGCAGCTGGTTGGCAACTTGATTGTTCTGTAATCATCTGGCATTGGTTCCACCTGGGTAATGTCAGTTACCTTGAGGTCAAGAGTCAGCGTGGTAGGAGGGGTGAGCTTATTATGAACCCACATATCGGGTTATTATAGGTGTACGATTTTATTATCAGTGTTTTGATAAGTCTAATAAGTAGAGGAGAGGAGGATTCTGACCCAGATTAACTTTTGTCACTGTATGAAAAAGTGGGTGTCTGACATCGGTATTTGTTGTTTTACATAAAATACATTAGATACCAATATCTTCTTTTCTGCAGACCAGGTTGAGGGAATGTGCAGTCAGCACTTCGACAATATTATAGAGTATATTATAACTGTGTGTCATAATATTTGTGGGTGTTAAAACCAGTCAGCCAGCCGCCATGTCAGGTATGCTGTAGACAGCTATTTTATCTCCAAGGTTACTGACAACACCAGCAAGTGTGAGGCATTGAGGTGAGTGCATTACCGTGTGTATTAATAATAAATATAATTGATATTATATTTTGGGAAATATACAGTGAACAAAATTATAAACACAACACTTTTGTTTTTGCCCCCATTCATCATGAGCTGAACTCAAAGATCTAAGATTTTCTCTATGTACACAAAAGGCCTATTTCTCAAAAATATTGTTCACAAATCTGTCAAACTCTGTTAGTGAGCACCCCTCCCAATACAGTGAAACTGCACATTTTCGACTGGCCTTTTATTGTGGCCAGCCTAAGGCATGCCTGTGCGATACCCATAATGTCTGATCAGCATCTTGATATGCCACACCTGTGAGGTGGATGGATTATCTCGGCAGTGAAATGTGAGTACAGTGGAGAAAACACCAAACCTTCACTGGATCTAACATGGGTACAGGGGCCTGAGGTGAGGAAGAAAGTGAATACCAGTACACTAACACAAAGTCCCCAAATATACCAGATACACTGCTGACTTCCTTGCATCCTCTTTTGTGCCCTTCTTAGAGAGCGCCATCTGCTGTGCCGGGTGGCAGCAGCTGTGTATGATACTGGTGAAGCAGAGATGCTTGGTTGACGGGAGATGTGACCTGAGGATTGGTACTCCAACATCACCGGGAGACAAGCCAGCCACAAAGATGGAGGAGCATCTCTTCCAAGGCAGGGAGATGGAGGATCACAACAAGTTTATCATGGATTTACCGAGTGGACTTGGGTACAAAATTATAAGATGTCTTCAATGTTTTATGCAACACACAGAAACACAAAAATAAGGAAATCTTAATAAACATAACTGTAGATCATTCTGGTGAATGATTATGTTTGCGTTCTATATGGACACTACAAAACACCGTACCTGAGGAAGTGCGCATGCGCACTAGTTTACCTCTCCTGTGTGTACATCACCCGCCAGGTTGTTAGTATAGCTTGTTGCCTGTGGCTGTGTAAGTTCATTATACTCAACAGAAGTTTATGTAATAAACACATCTGGCTTGGATTCAATCTACGGACTCCTCACTCATTTCTATAATGACTTTACAGCATTAAAGTCAAGAGTGATGTAATATGTATCCTTTATCAATAAACAATCAGAATGGATCATCTATGAGGATTACTCAATCCAACTACCTGTAGCAGATACATGTGAGTAACACACACACATTGACAGCTTTAATTATGTTTATCATGTCATGACAAACACAGAAGACATACAAGTGTTTTTACAGGCGGAGTAGAACTTCTGACTTTGATGTATAATCTTGGTGGAGTGCCCATTTAATACACATGTAAACACAACAAGACCATGGAACATCCTTGACCTTGTTTAATCTTGTATGTCCACAGGATGAGGCACAATGTCTACAGAAGTAAAATTCTCACTGTGTTCCCTGGCTCTGCTCAGGCCTTGTATCCACTCACAATTTAACATCTGGAGTGGGTGGAGCAAATGTCAGGGCTTGGGGAGGCACACAGGCCTTGGTTTGGAAATATAGCCACAGATGGACTGAAGATGGACCGTTAAAGGATGGATTTCAAGATTTCTTGGTCCTCTGCAGAGTTTTTCTTCTTCTAACTGAGCTCCAAAATTCCAGTCACCTAACAATGAAGAATTGTGGTAAATGAAAAGGAAAAAATACAGACGTGCATACTTGCTTTCAAAGACCAGCATTACATGTCTCGCTGTTGTCACGTATGGCTTAGTTTCTGTGATGTGCGTAGATGTGTATGTGTGTGTCATCACAGGGTGCCCAGAGGAGAGAGCACCATGTGGAAGTATATAGGAACAGACAGTGTGGGGTGTGTGCGCACGCTGTATGAGTGTGGGGGTTTCACAGAAAATAACTAGACGAGTATTTAGAAACAGTAAAAATTTGGAAAAAGTATGACTATTTTTTGTAATCCAACTTAAATTTATTCCATGGTTTCTTTTTTTCATAAGGTTGCTCCCATCTCCGGGCTGTCAGGTTCAGTTCAGTTGGCAAGTTCTCTGGAGCAGCAAAATGAGCCTTGGGTACGCGAGCAGTACCTGGGTGAGAGATCATTAAGCACAGAATGAGGCAACAAGCAGAATATCAGCATGTAGAATTAGGACTGTGTATTTTACCACCTTAGTAGATGATCAGTCCTTTAATTGCATTTACTGCTAAAAGTAATTGTGCAATTTGATGGTCCACAGCCAATAACATGCTCAGGGTTCATTCTTTCAGGGTTAGCATTGTTAGCCTTTCTAAAAGCAGCCCTGGCATAACAAATAGATATGCATGAGGCATGATTTGAGGGGGTTTCTCTGTAAATGGCTTGGTAGTCATAACGGTGATGCTTTAACAAACTGACATTTTAGAAGCTTTGTTTTGTTGCAATACCCGTGTCTGGCTGCAAGTCAGCAGTTTAATTGATTGATTGATTGATTGATTGATTTTTATTTAGAAGGGACCATGTGCAATTAATAACATAAATGTAAACATTTGATGCATTACACCAGAGTTAGCCTTAGGCTAATTTACATCTGCAGTCCCCCTGCAGTGTTGGGTCCAGTGGCTTTCAACTTCATCTTGTTGTGACCACAATGCAGGGAAGGATTCAAGTGCCTCCATGCTGCTTCATTTGCCATGGCGACCTCCGGCTGTGATGTCTGCTCCAACATCCCTTTAGGAGTGAACAAGTTCAGATGGAAGGTAATACTGGTCATATTTCTTGGTTTACTAGAGCCATTCTGTATTTGGATGCACTATATCAAACTATGAGAGATATAACAAGACAATCCATCATTTCCGGTGGCAGAGGCAGTGAAACTGCCAATGTGTAAACTTCCTTTTTACACATTTGTGGAATTTTGTCCAATGTGTACTGCGAAGATCTGTAAAAAAAAATATACACAAATATCTCACTACCCAAAACATGTATTTTTACATTTGTGTTGTGTAAAATCATATCCACTAAAATACAGTGCAATTTGCAAATATGTACAATTTACTCTACATTCACATATTTAATTTCACATACAAAGTGTTATTTACGCATTTGTAGATCTATTTTTACACACAAAACAGTTTTAGCACATTTGCAGATCATTTCCTGTCAATTTGCAGGTCACGTTACATTTGTGGAATTTTGTCCACTCTGTACCACAGAAATCTGTCAACAGAGATCTGTACGTGTGAGAGCAGTTTATTAGCTACACCAGCAGGTGGCAGTAGCGACATTGCCTCTCATGAGTTGTAAGAATCTCCATTGCAGTACCCAGGGTCATCTGTAGGAGACAACTTCTGCTGGACCACTGGACTCTATTCAGTCTAAATTTTTCTGTGCAAGTGTATATAGTTTACTATTGAATACTTTATCACTGTATTTGTTTTATATTTAAATAAATATGAGCCTGAAAATTGTGTTTGTAGTAATATTTTACACCTTCCTGTCAGAGCTGTGAAAGAAAGCTTTGTAAAAGTATTTGAAAAGCAGAGAAGTTCTATAAAGCCCAATCAGGAATACTGCATTTCAATTCAGTTATAACATTTTGATGTGAAATGATTAAAAAATATTTTATTTCCATTTCTTTATCACAAGAAAAAAAAAAAAAAAGTGTAATACACAATCAGTACAAAGTGTTAATAAACCAAGACCGTAGCATTAGGTACACAGTATATTTATTCTCATGCCTTACATTGTCTTTGTGGTTTACCCAAATCTTGAGTGGTATTCAAATTTCACAACTCACACAAATTAGTCCACAGATATGCATTTGATAAGATTGCCCCAGACATGCTTATCAGATAGGATTTTTGCTTTTAGATGCATTACAGAAAGTGTATGAAACCCATGACCCAAATAGTCATGTTCTATCATTGTGTTACTTATGGTGGAAATGATTTTAAATAGTAAATTTATCATTCCCCTTAAGGACCCCTGGTGGTTGAGCAAATGGCTATTCATTAGCTGCAATAGGGCTAGTCTGATAGTGAATATTGCCCCTCATGTTTAAGAGGTCCCCCAGTAATGTCAGTCTTGCATTGGTTGCAAATGGCACCCCAAGATAGATCCAGTATTGAGGAGTCATGTAAACCCTACTCATGAGCCTTACGAAGTCATGCAAAAGCTCAATAAAAACACATTGACTGTAACCTTATAGATAGGGTTTACAATAACTCCTACAACCAGTAGGTTCAAGTGTAGTCTATTTAAATAGAACAGTGATAAAGTACTCAATAGTAAACTACACAAAAATTTAGACTGAAGAGTCCAGTGGTCTAGCAGAAGCTCTCTTACAGATGACCCTGGGTACTGCAATGGACATTCTTACAACTCACGAGGCAATGTCTACTGCCACCTGCTGGTGTAGCTAATAAACTGCTCATGCATACAGATCTGTGGTACAGAGTGGAAAAATTCCACAAATGTGTAGGAAGTCACTTGTGGATAAAATGTCACATCACAAATGTAAATACATATTTGTAGATAGTGAATATTTGCACATCAGTACAAATGTGGATTGTTGTGGGTTACAAACAATAAAATCTTCCATAGTAGTGTCCAAGACAAATCTTTGATATGAATAGCTGACTGTTCACCTTGCCCAAACACCTCCAGCACCACTTCTTGATAAGCCTGGACTCAACAGCACCAGCGTGAATACAAAAGAACTGGACGGGGCTATTTTTTTCCTTCCATACCATTATTAGGAGAGTTTCAGTAGGCTAGACATTAAGTGGGGCCTGTTGTGGTAGTCATCTGCGGGTTAGGGGTTGGATATTGGGAGGGAAAAGAGAATATAGGTGAAAGTGCCATATGGTGGAAACTTATTTTAGGGGGTGCTGTGGAAATTGAGGCCATGCTGGGTTAGCAGTTGTAGTTTGTGCAGGAGTTGCGGTTGGGAGGGGGGTGAGGGAAGAACAAGGGGTATTTTGCGTATTGTGGAAATTGATGCCATGCTGGTTTTGCAGTGGTGGTAGTTGGTGCTGCTGTGGTGGTGGAGCAGGAGGAAAAGGGTAAAAAGGAGGGAAGAGAGGGGGGTATTTTAATATTGAGGCCATGTTGGTTTGCAGGCGTGGTTGTAGTCGGGCTGCTGTGGTGGTTGGCGGAGCAGGAGGAAAGGGGTAAAAAGGAGGGAGAGGGGGGTATTTTACATATTGAGGCCATGTTGGTTTGCAGGCGTGGTTGTAGTCGGCGCTGCTGTGGTGGTTGGCGGAGCAGGAGGAAAGGGGTAAAAAGGAGGGAGAGAGGGGGGTATTTTACATATTGAGGCCATGTTGGATTTGCAGGCGTGGTTGTAGTCGGCGCTGCTGTGGTGGTTGGCGGAGCAGGAGGAAAGGGGTAAAAAGGAGGGAAGAGAGGGGGGTATTTACATATTGAGGCCATGTTGGATTTGCAGGCGTGGTTGTAGTCGGCGCTGCTGTGGTGGTTGGCGGAGCAGGAGGAAAGGGGTAAAAAGGAGGGAAGAGAGGGGGGTATTTTACATATTGAGGCCATGTTGGATTTGCAGGCGTGGTTGTAGTCGGCGCTGCTGTGGTGGTTGGCGGAGCAGGAGGAAAGGGGTAAAAAGGAGGGAAGAGAGGGGGGTATTACATATTGGATATTGAGGCCATGTTGGATTTGCAGGCGTGGTTGTAGTCGGCGCTGCTGTGGTGGTTGGCGGAGCAGGAGGAAAGGGGTAAAATGGGAAGAAAGCGGGGTATGGTGGAGATTGGGCCGTTACTGGTTTCTCTGTGGTTGTCTGGAGCGTCTCAGGGTTTGATGGAGTGTACGTGGGTACAGGTTGTGGTGTGGCAGTTGTGGGACACCAGAGTGAGACTGGAACACCCTGCCAATGCATTGGGAGCACGTAACTTCCACCCTTGGGGAAGAGAAGACAAGTGTGAATTAGATTACATAAACCCAAAGTTACACTAACAAAGCAGGGTTTGAGGGTAGTGAGCAACCTGCTCTGGAGCAGGTTATGTTGAGATAAGAGCAAGGCTATAAAAAAAAAAACCTGACCATCAAGTCTGAGAAGCGTGTCACTATTTGCAGAAGATCCTGCAGACTGCTCCATGCATGCTGTGTGTGATACAATCCTACCCAAACTGAAGCACTAGTGTATTTGATATAAAGCAAGCCTTTCCGCTTTGAATTTCATTTGCATTGTAGTCACACAGGCAGTAACCTAACTTCATATTAAGCTTAATGTGCACACCAAAGTTTTAAAGCATACAATTTCTTTAAGTCTGTGAGAAACCGACATCCCTCCTAATTCTACACCCTTTCCCTGGGTTGATAACTAGAGTTGTGTGACCGCTTAGCGTGATCACTTGTTAACATTAGTGAAGCCAGATAATGAAGTGATCTCATTGTACAGTGAACTTGCTTAGTACAGGCTACATGAATGCAGTTAATTGATTAGCAATCCTTGCCGCCATTCAATAGTTATCTGTGAGTTTCAGAATTTTATTCTTCAAGCCCTGAACTCCTACAAGCCAGGCTGATGCACGAGATCCTCCGACAGGGCTCTACTAATGTTTCAAAGTCTTGTTGACTTTTAAATACCTTTATTTAAATATGGCCCTTATGTTTCTATAGCACTTTGTAATGTAGTTTTGAAAATTCACAAAGTTATCTACAGATCTGCTCTAATCAATTAGCCTTTGAGAAAATGCTCAAAATTGCCATTAAAATTGAAATGCCCATTTGTCCAACCAAACACACAAGTTCTACAGTAGGCCTACAATTGAGCTTGCCCGACTAATGATTAGAGCATTTATCAAAACAGCTGCTGGTTTCTACACATCATTTAAGCTCTTGGTCAATTGCTCAGATTTTCCACCTTCCCACCATGCAGCAATATCTTGCATTTCCATAAACATTAGGCCTACCTCTTTAACCACATTGCAGCCATCATAAGGAACCAACATAACAAGTGCAAGGGAGTTCCTCTGCATGCTGTAGCCACAACTGGAAGGCACCTGGGACAGAAGCATTGGAGGTGCTGTTCCTGTGTGTGGGAGGGGGGGCATGCAGATCAATGTGACTGAAGTCAGTTGTGGGAATACCTACAGTTGAGACATTATATAATAAACTTTAATTACCTTGATCCACTGTAAACTGTGATACTCCTGGTCCCACTGCTCTGAACTTCAACTGATCCCCACCACATTGTAGAGAGCTGCCATGCGCCTCCATGCTGCTTCTCTGAAACCGAGATCTGGGCTTTGTCCTTTAGGCCAGCCTGACAGGGAACCTTCTAGTGAATGTAGGCCTATTACAATTTGTTGT